AAGATGCTGGGAAATCAGGTATCTTCCCTACACTTAAAAAAACTCAGAGTGCTAGGTTCATTCATTCATTCAAACATTTACTGAGCACTTACTGCTTGCCAGCCCTGTTTTGGCAATTTTGCTTACAACAGGAAAATCTCTCCCTCATGGAGTATGTGCTCCATTGTATTAGTCAATAAACAATACATAAAAGTAAAAACATGATGCTAGTGGTTACTGCTAAGGAGAAAAACTATAGTAGAGAAAGGGTGAGTGTGTGTTTTAACATGTTGCTTTAGGGAGGTAGAGGGGTCAGGGAAAGCCTCATTCAGGAGATGTCTTTTATGAACAGACATGAAGGAAGTGCCAGAGTATCCATAACAGATACTATAGAAAAAGTAAGATAGGAAAGGAAATGCTCTAGGGCTAGAACGTGCCAGGCGTGTGCCAGGAAAGGCTAGTGCATATGAAAGTGGGACTCCCAGGAGCTGAGGTGGGAGAGGAGGGTGAGTAGGGTAGAAGCGCAGCAGGTCCTGCAGGAGGACTACGGGTCTCACTGTCTGAGACCCGCAGCCAGATGCCGATTCTGAGCTGAGATGTGACGCATCCTGACTTGTTTTCACAGGTTCCCTCAGGCTGCTGAGTTAAGAGCACACTATGGAAGGATCATAGGCAGAAGGAAGGAAGGACTTCTCTTAAGTAAAATTGTCGAGTGAGAACCTTCATGTATTTAAAACTCTTTTTTTACCTCTTTGACTTACAATTTACTCCCCATGATATGACAAATTCCTTCTGGAGAGTGTGTGTGAGTATGTGTAAGCGAGTGAGAGTGTGTGAGTGTGTGTGTGAGAGTGTGGCATGTATGTGGTGTATGTGTGTGATGTATTTGAGTGTGTGAGTGTGAGTGTGTGGTTTGTGGTGTGTGTGTGTGTGTGAGTGTGTGAGTGTGTGAGTGTGAGTGTGTGGTTTGTGGTGTGTGTGTGTGTGAGTGTGTGAGTGTGTGAGTGTGAGTGTGTGGTTTGTGGTGTGTGTGTGTGTGAGTGTGTGAGTGTGTGGTGTGTTTGTGTGAGTGTGTGAGAATGTGGTGTGTATGTGTTGTGCGTGTGATGTGTGTGTGTGGTGTGTGTATGTGTGAGTGTGTTTATGTGTGTGAGTGTGTGTGTGATGTGTGAGTGTGAGTGAGTGTGTGTGTGTGTGTGTGTGTGTGTGTGTGTGTGTGTGCATGCGTGCTTCCTGGGAGCCTCATGGTTAGCATGGAGGCCTGGGGTAACAGCTCTCACACCTTTCCCTTGCCTCTCCTTTTTCTTTTCCATAGTGTTTCTCATGTTTGTCAGCTAGCCTCTGCTCCTCTTTATCACTTCGTCCTTTTCTAGTCATCTATATTTCCATTTGTTTCTGCTATTCACATTTCTGTTTCCACTTGCTAAATGAGAGGGGGTAGAAATACAGGTAAGCAAAAGAAGCAGAGAGAAATACATGGTCAGTCCAGGGTTTTCTTCATATATCTAGTGTTCTCAATAAATGTTCATTTGAAATATAATTATTTTCAGATCATAAACATACTACAAGTCTAATTATAAATCAAAATAAGTAGAAGTATAATAATGAAGACACAACTATAATATGATAAATATTAAACTACTTCCTTTGTGGGAAGGTTCTGTTTATGTTCTTGTTTTTTTGTTGTTGTGTTTTGTTTTTTTTTTGGTGGGGTCTAATTTTTTTGAACTGAGAAATGCCATCAATTAATGATAAGTAATACTTGCCTTCCATTTTTATTGTAAATATTTCCCTAGTTTATTGTATTTTATAGTTTACTATTTGTGTACAGATAGTTTCTTGTTGTATTCAATTGTATTCCTTTGCAATATCTTCTATCATTTATTATTTTGGGGGGTGTTGAGAGTAATTTCATCTTAAAATATACCAGTACTTAATTAACTCATCAGTAGAAATAAGAAAGAAGTGGGACAAGCTAGGCGAACATGAGTGCAGGAGCCCAAGATCAGACTGAAGACAGTGTGGATCTGAACATAAGGATCACAGCAATTCAGTATGGCTGTCCTCTGGCCCACCCAGAGGCTAGTCTCCAACATTCTCCCTTCCTGCAATGTCTTCCAAAACAGGGCATCTCTGCCATAACTGCAGGCATAGCCGACCTAGTCATACCCCTGTGGAACATGATACAAAGCCCAGAAGCAAGTTTATCTACCTTACTAAAGAGTGGAAGCTGGCACATAATCTGTAATGATAACTCTAAAGATCCCAACCTCAGTCTGCTTAGAGCTGGCACCACCTGGAACCTGCAGGTGTTCCTATGTATCCTGTCATGAGTGAATGCTCTGAGTTCTCACAGTGTACACCTAAATCATCACTGTGGCAGAATGCACTACCTTACTCTGAATTCTTAAAAATTCTAAGAAGCCACAGAAAATGGCAGAACCCTATCCCTAGAAATCTAGACAATACAGAGAATAAGAATCCTTAATGTATTACAATCTTGTACAAATCAATCAAATAAAAACAAATATCCCATTAGGAATATTTGTGTATTATAAGTGTTCTCTCTTTGTTGGGGCACCGAGACGAACAGAATGGCATGTGGTAGAATGTCAGAGCATATGATAGCTTAAGGGAGGTACCTCACTATCACATTCATGTTCAAAGAGAAGTCTGAATTTAAGCATAAATATTACATAAATAGAAAACCAAGTAAAAAAGAACAAAGAATTTCATTAAACATAATATGAAAAACTGATTGAAAGACATGAGGCTCAAACTGGTGGCAATTAAATTCAAAGTCAATTTCAATATATTCTTCCATAATCAATCAGGTTCTTTCTTTTTATGGGTATATTCAGATGTGGTGACCTCAGCAAATCTCTGATGGGAGGAGGGACAGGGTGTAGCTATTGTTTTACACATCTAGTTGACAACCAGGTCTCCTTTCATTTTCAACATATAGGCAAACGGCTGGCTGTCTAGTTGCTCCTTGGTCAGTATGAGGGACAAGGGCATGTGTATAACTCCAAGTCGTAGGGCTTCTCTCCTGGGAGATGAGGTTGTCTACAACCTTAGACACCAGTTCCAGACACCAGAAGCTCACTCAAAGAGCTAGGGCTTGACTGCCTTACAGAGACACTCATCCTGAGGTAGGATTCCCATGACGTGCCCCCTAGACAGTTCTCCTGAAGGTCACAGCCTCCTCGTGCTCCCATGGCCAGGCCTCCTACGGGTCCGAGGTAGTCCTGCCATGCCTGGACATGCTTTATCCAGACATTGCTTTAAGTTCCAGTACCGCCTTCATTCTGGTACCAGATATCTTTTTGTGCTTCATGAAAATTAAGTCAAAACATGGCCATCAGTGTTTTGCTCTTCATCATATTAATAATAAAGTGTTCATTTTTCAGACACCTTGGTGGGGTGTTGCTTTTTAGCACAACTTGCAGCGTTGACTGGGAGGCCATCTTCAACACCTATAAATCAAGTAAAGAAGGGTGCAGGAGTTCTGCCTAAGGTAGGACAAGGATCAGTTGGACCTGAATTTCAGTTAACTGAGTGGATGGCCAGTTAAATGCTTTATAGGAATGGTTGCTAGGTTAGTTGAAGGCATGGCTATTGGTGTATTTGGCTGTATTATCAACCTGCTTACCCAGACTGCCCTGTCCTTCCACCCATCTGTGCCTGCAGCTGCCTCATCAACTCACGCTCAATATCCTTTTACAATTATTTCTAAGCTTAGAAAATTTTCCCCAGTCCTAGGTATTTCTTTGATATTTGATAAAGTCTTTTCAGGACTAGGGTAATGAGCATCATAATTTTGTTTGTATATATAACCCAAGTAAAATCTTCAATAATTTTTCACTTTATGTTATAAATTACCATTGTCAAAGGGGAAGGAAGAGAAGGAAAGGGAGAAATAAAATTGCTACTGTGGCTAAAGAGGATGGAGTGTGTGTGTAGGCATGTGTGTGTGTAGGCATGTGTGTGTAGAAGTGTGTGTGTGTGTGTGTGTGTGTGTGTGTGTGTGTGTGTGTGTGTGTGTGTGTGTAATAGAGAAGGGCATGTACTGTGCTTTTTTTGTTCATCTTGTTCAACTCTATCTGAAGAGACATCTCTATTTAGAGGAACATACTCTGAACTGGGAATCAGACGACCTGATGCTGGATTCCATCTCATCTTGCTTGTCACCTACTGTGAGAGCTCAGGCAAATCACATGGCCTCCATGTCTCAGTCTTTGCATCTGAATTCTCATTTGCATCGGCCTTCGGAATTCCCATAATGTTGTGATGCTCTCATAGTATAATATATATCAAAGCAGCAGCACTATGGAGTTTCTATAAGTGCTCAACAATGATTACGCTCTATCATTATTGTTCTCATTAGCAGGTAGGTATCTGTGCCCAATTCTGGTCTCATCTCATGAACTGTAATCCTGTTACTACCTTTTCCTAGTTTTTTGTTTGTTTGTTTTGGGGAGGAAGGGGTGCTCTGTTCTTCATTGTAAACACTTCAAGTAAATGACTGCCCATCTTTTGATCTATAATCTCAAGACTGTCTTAGGCTTTCGGGAAGACAAATTGCATGTAAAAGTCTTACTAATGTGTTGGCAACTCAACCTGAATCCTGCTTTATCTCTACCTTTTATTTGTGATGGAGGCTATCTGGGTAGGTTACGGTGAATATATTGTCTGAACCAGAGTAACCACTCTGGTGAAAATTTAGGTCATTGGGCATACTAAAAAGCCGAAATTGGATTCCTGAGAGAAATGCACTTGGATTTCTGAGGAGCTGTTGCCCTCCTTTCAGACCACAGGATGACAAGTCCTGTGCCTGCCATGCACTGACACCTACCCAGAGACTATATATATGTACATTAATAACAGTAAAACAACAAATATGAAGTGTGCTGTTTCAATAAATTATGAACTCTGGAAGGAAATTATATTGATTTCAGCCCAGATCCCATAATAAATGGAGGCTATATAAATAAAAGTTTTGTATATATTTGAAGACTTACTGTATTGACAATTTCTTCCCATGAATTCACCTGGGCACTCACAGGAATAGTTCGCAACAAGGTCTGTACATATTCCACCATTTTTGCAAGGCTCAGCTTCACATTCATTTATGTCTAAGGAAAACAGACAGAACAGAGGAAGAGAATTATTGGTGAAAAAAATGATTAGTTACAGAAGATTTTAGGCATTACAAATAAAAGAAAGTCTAAGTATTGCTATTACTTTTGTGTGCATATCTTGAGTCCACAATACAGATGCTGCTTAAAATCAACAACAATTAAAAATCAAATTAAATCCAGCACAAATAGAATTGAGAACCCAAATGAAGGACCAACACAAGTAAACCACTCTTCAGTCTGAAAATAAATATGAATAGTGTGGGGAAATATTCAGTGTATCCTTAGAATCAAATCAAACAAATTAACCCTGATAGAGGGATGCATTGGTATCACTTACAAGATCTAGAAACCTCCCCTGCAGCAACAACTGCCAATTAACACTGTCTCATTTCATCTTAATTCATTAAAATTCTATCTGAAAGAAATGTTTTAGTTTCTAAATAGTTTGCCTTTGATGAATGCGATGAGAAGCAAATTAGAGTTAATAGCTAAAGCTCATTACATGCAAAGTGTAATAAATTTAAATGATGATCACTTCCTAATCTCATTCAAGGGTTTCTAAAGTTAGAATGACTGAAGGGACTTACCTTTGATATACCATTTTTATACCTGACACAAAGTCATATGAAATGTAAAACACTCAGCAAATTATACCAATTTCCATGCTAACTCTGGACAACAGAGACACCGGATATGATTTTAAATGAATAAAGAAATAATGAGTAATTCAGTCAAATATCAATCATCGATATTTACAAATCCTTCCCTCTAAAGCATAACACCATGCTGGGTTTTGTGGGAGCTAGTGAAGTTGTTGGGGACACACACTGCTCCCCATGGCTTTCTCTTCCTAGCATGCGCTCCAATGAACTCCTCTGCTTTTATTCCCACAACTCCCTTTTTTCTTAACCTTCTTACAAAACTTAAATGATGTCACTTAGAAATTGTCTATTTACGTGCCTTTCACCCTTTCAGCTAGTCAGGCTGTGAGCTTTACAAATGCAGCACCTGAGCTGCCCTGATGTTTGTACCTCTGCAAAAGCCCCCCACTATCTGGAAGAGCACTAGTGCCCGATAAATGTTTCCTAATGATTTCTAACAAAAGGTTAGAAACAGTGGTGCCGATAATATAAGTATAAATATAAATATATAAATTTCAGATGTGTAGTGTGCCTTCTGATACACTACCATGTAGCAAAAGAAGTCCTGGGTTTTCATAGTGCTTAAAGCAATATGATCATTAAATTGCCTCCTCAAGATCCAACAAGGGCAAAATACTAGAAAAATCTGTATTTTGCCCTTTCTTTTATCGTCTTTCTTCTAAACAGTATCTTCTCCTGGAAGCAAAGTTATCAACCTCTCATTCTAAGTTTATTGTAAAACTTTTGGTCTAAATTTCCCTAGGCAGGTGATGATGTTCTCTGAAAAAGTCATCCTTTTTGGTTTATGGTTGACTGTCACAGTTTGAGAGTAGAAAGAATTCATGACTGTGTTCAGAAAGAATCTAAATAAGTTGAGTAATTTATAACATCAACTACCAGAATAAAATTAGAATCTGATAGTCTCTAGAAATAGCTGTGTGTTATAAACTACAATAGACTCCCAAACACTTAGCACTAAAATGCTCCGGAAATAAAGAAAAAAAAAAAGGAAGAAAGGAAGTCACTGATTTTCTTATCTCATGCAATATTTAGCTCTGTAGTCTTATCAAAATTTCACTTAGTCTTTATATTGTACAAACATGGGAAATATTTTCATTGAATTAAATTTTGAAAGTGGAACAAGAGTCGATGTGTTGTTTTTTTTTCCAAGCTCAATGTAAGACAATGGCAATGCTTGGCTACTTTGGGACACACCTAATATGTCTTTTCATTTATCATATCTACTAAAATTTGTTTTAGATAAGAATACATCAATGGCCAATAAGTTAAATCTTCATGTCTTAGAGAATGCACTGCCGTATTTTGTAAGTTAGACATAAAAAAGTTATATATATATATATATTTTAATACATTGATAAGGGAGAAACTGAGTATTTTTTTCCTGAAGACCACATAAAGGACATATAATTTGATCTTAGACTTGAAGGATGTGTTAATTAGGATTAATAAGGACAAGGTGGAAATGGTGGTGTATTTCCAAGCAGGGAACCAGAATGAGTCATAGCTTTGAAGAGAAATGTTCATGGTATGATGGTGTGTTCAGGTACAGCCCAGTTTGTTTGGAGCAGAGAGCGAGCAGCGGGGTACAGGAGTCCAAGTCTGAGGATGCAGATAGGTAGCAGATTATGAAGAACCCTTAGTACCAGCTGAGGGAGCTGGCTTTTACCTTTCCACACTGAAGACCAGGAACTGGATGGGAGGGTATTCTCTGCACCCTTGTACTTTAGAAAGACCTAGAGAAGCCATATGTGGGATGAACTGATGAAATAAATTAAGGAAGGCAGGACAGAGACCCACCCACACAAGATTTGATGTTAATAGGTACAACATATATGTTAATTCTCAGGTAAGAGACTATAAGCATTTTCTCATTTTAAGATTAAATTAGCTCATGAGTAAAACAAAACCCAGCTCTGCTACTTTGAAATATTAATAGCAAGAAGTTTTCATAGTCCATGATATGAGAACAATCAAGAGTTAAAATATATTGTATATTATTAAGGACAGGCACTGTTCTTAGCTTCCTCACATCTTCCACGTTTTTACACAATAAATAGTATTTAATACATGTGAATGTGACTAATCAAGAGAAATCAGCTTTTAAACTTCTATCTTTCCATCATGCCAGATCTACAATGGTCAACAAAGGAAATTATAGTTAAGAACATCAAATTATAAAAACAAAAACAAGTTACACCTTTACCCAGAGTTGAGCAGGAGGTAGAATAAACTGAAATTGTATCACTGAAGTAAAACTGCTTTATCACCATACCCAATTTATGAAAAAGGATGACCTTTACATTGTCCATTTTTCAATTTTTTAACTCAGAGAACTACCTTAAGTTTCAATTCATAAAATGCAAATGTTATATTCAATGAGTTATGTTCTTTAATATAGTAGAAAAATAATTAAAACATTTCTACATGTGTGCATATCCAATAACACGTAGGTGCAGGGAACAGATGCAAATTACACAGACGCGGTTATGTATTAGTATAATGTAGGAATTCTTTCAGCAGTGAAGGCTATTTGCACTGTGATTAACACTGCAAGCAATCTAAGTGGAAACAGACCTCAATTTGAATAAATCATGTTTAATTAAAGACCAGATATAAATGTTCACAGAACATAATGTAATGAAATGAAAATTAAACATCTTTGTAATAAGTCACATATATTTCTCTTTGTCACAGATCAAGACATTATCATTTCCAGAAAAGGTTCACATCTATTCCAAATATACTAGAATATACTAGATTATTTTTAGAACTAAGAAGAACTTGACATAGCAGTCCCCATGTAAACTAGAAATTTCCATATTTGGTCATATTTATAGTTCATTTACAATAATAATAGCTATATTTTTTAATGTTTTTTCTTCTATGATTGCCTCAAGAAAACTTAAAAAAAGAAAAACAAAACAGGGCTGGCTGAGTGGCTCAGTTGGTTGAGCTCACTCAAGAGTGTGAGCTCTGAGCAACAACAGGGTTGCCAGTTCGATTCCCGGCCTGAGCTGAGCTGCCGCTGTTGTGCCAACAGGTGGCAGGATGGCTCAGCTAAAAAACAAACAAACAAACAAAAAAACACCAGCCTCATTGAAAACTGGATTTTATAATCAAGATACCCAGCTGAGTCCTAATTCCTTATTCTGAACACATATAACTTTGCTTCCCATCATCTAGTCTAAGACACAGCTTCAAGAGCTTAATATGGATTTCTAGATGTAAACTCAAGACACGTCTTTTTTTTTTTTTTTCGAAGGGAGAGGTAGCAGAGGAAGAAGAAAACAAGGTAAAACAAGGCCGGGGAGGAGAGAGAGTAGACAAAAGGTCACAACAATATTAATTTCTTTGAACCAAAGAGGTGCTTCACAAGGATTTCCAGGCCCTTTGCACTGTTATAACAAACTACACAGATTTATTAATCATATATGCATAAATTAGATGCTTTATCTTTACCATTATATTGCACTTTGCCCATTTTATGCAGATCTGTAAAGGTGTGTTGGTAGTCCACCCTCTTTGTTTTGGGATTTTGCTCACAGAAATAATTGGGTACAGAGTTACCATTTTTTGTGGTGAGAATATTTAAGGTCTACTCTCTTAGTAATGTTCAAGTATATGATACAGTATTACTAGCTATAATTGCCATACTGGACATTAGGTTCCCAAACTTGTTAATTTTATAACTGGAAGGTTGTACCTTTTGACAAATATGTTCTCATTTCCCCCACTCACCCTAACCCCTGGTAACCACCATTCTACTCTCTGTTTCTCTGAGTTTGTCTTTTTTAGATTCTACATGAGAGATTATACTCACTTTGTCTTTCTCCATCTGACTTAGCATAATGTCCTATCATAATACTCTATCCAAGTTGTCACAAATGGCAGGATTTGCTTCTTTCTCACAGCTGAGCAATATTTCAGTGTGTGTGTGTGTGTGTGTGTGTGTGTGTGTGTGTGTGTGTGCCACATCTTCTCTATCCATTCATCCATTTGATGGGCACTTAGGTTGTTTCTATATCTTGGCTATTGTGAGTATTGCTATGGAAAACAGTACCCAAATTCTTCAAAAAAATTAAAACTAGAAATACCATATGGTCCTTTGCAATTCCCCAAGTACATCCTGGCCCCATGAGCATCAAGAAGGAACAACTAATTCTTGGGCGGAGCACCCTCATTTCGATATATTAAAAGGACACTATGATAAAAGCTGTTTTTTCTTTTTTTCCTTTGCAAAGACATAGTTTCTTGAATTCCTTATTCATTCCCCTCAGGCTGTATTTCTTCCCTGCAATATTGTTATTGACTGTTAATTAGCCAGCAAGAGCT